ACTTTCTAAATGAATAATCATAGATTTTCCCAAGTAAGTACCCAAAGTACACAATACCTTCACAAGTACCCAAATACCTCCAATGTAAAAGAAGTTTTATGATATTAAACATTATATATGTACACACATAATGACATTGAACAATATATGCAGCGATGTCAAACATATGTATATATGTAGAGAGAGAGAGACTAAAAGAGAGAGAGAATTAAAATTTAAGGGCATTGAGGATTTCCTGGTGTTGAATTATTTAAGGGTCATCTGTCTTTCACCCTGCAATGCTGATAAATGGTGAGTGAAATAAAGCCAGCAAACAGGTATTCCCTAAAACTGAGATATCTGTCTTGTGTGACAATATTCTAAAATCCAGGCTTCATTTGGATAAATATAAAAATCTCACTTTTTCCTCATCACCACAGGATCTTATCCTTACCCAGGACGATTTTGCCTAGCTTCATTTTGACTAGTTTGTATCTTGAAAACAATATATTTTTTTCCTGCTCCAAGTACAGAATTGTATATTGGCCATGGCTTTCAAACCACAGAATCTGTGGCATTTCCCTCTTCTCTTCCTGAGCAATTTAGCCCTGCGGCCTTTAGTTGGGGCACAGCACAGTAAGCGAGGTATGAGCTCACTTTGGGGTGGGCCTAATGAGCAATGTTTAGAATCAAGCAGAATGAGTAAGTCATCCCTGTGGAAAGGGTGGGGTACCCTGGTGTGGGACATCCCTGCAGAGGGATGGCCACTGTGGGGTTTCAGAGCCCAAATAAAGTGGGAGGATGTCTACGTGTGGAGTGGATGAGTGTGAAATATTACACCTTGAGTGAGGTGATGGTGGTGTGTATCCTAGTGCAAGAGCTGCCAAGCAGAGTGTCCACACAGGGGATGTGTGGCCCTGGTAGTGAGGGATTGGTTAGCACAGGGAGTGAATGAAATGTTAACAAATTAAGAATAATGGGACATAGATTTCTCACTGTCAGAGAAGGAAGTTACGAATAGGGAGAGGGAGTAAACTAGAATGAACCCTAAGATGTGATTGGAAGTGGGGTGTGAACTCATGGATTCCAATAACTACGATAGAGAAAAAAATTCAAATGCAGACACGTAATATATGTACATATAAATTGGGTTAGAGCTGTAGATAGATAAATATCAACGTGGTTAAAATGCATACACAGTACTTATTCATGAGCGGGCCTTGGAGCAGCAAGGGAACTCAAGTCTGACAGCGAATGTTTTAGACTTCCCATTCCCTTGTTGAGCTGGATAATTCCCATGGGTCCTGTAGAACCCTTCCAAGCATTCCCCCTCCCTGGGAGCCTTCTTTGCTGTTCTCTAGACTGGCAGCTGTCTATTTCCTGCTCCCCGGGCCTGCTTCTATCAGAGCATTTATTACTCTGCTTCTCTATTCACTTCTCTGATCCCACATCGCTCTGCTCCTCCCTCATCGCTTTTCTCCCACAGAGCTCATGTAGAATGGACCCCATCATGGTTTGTTCAACACAAATTTGAAGGCGTTTGAGAGAAAGAACACATTTCAGGTGAAAGAACACAAGCTTTGATACTTGTGAAAATCTTGGTTAATATCTTTCTGCTGTAACTTACTGGTTTGGGAAACTTGGATGCATTTCCTAATTTCTTTTAGCCTGAGCTTCTTCATCTGTAAAGTTTCAATAGTAGAACTTCCGTATCTGGCAATCTGTGATTTTTTATTTTGAGAGATGTAGAAGAGTAAGTATGTAATGAATAGATACATGAAATTTACTTCTAAATTTTCATTGTTATGTGAGGAATGATTTCTATTCCATACAGATATCTACCCACACATGAAATAATAACCTGCTTATGAAGAGACATTCAATGAAACAGTGGTTGGTTGATTATAGATGCATAAACATTCAGTAATTCTCCCTTTACACTATGGCTTTGTTTTCATTTATTCTTTTCATATTTTAAGAAACCTCTCATTTCTTAGTTTTTATAAACATTCTTTGGAACATGAGTATTTTTCTAAAAAGCTAAATATTTTCTAAGAAAGAAAATGAAACACTTTCTGAATGCCAATTCCCAAGACATGAATCTGTTTTTCACCCTGTATGTCATCTTTACACATACATACGTACTTTTTACTTGAAAATGCATTGAATAGGCTGTCAACAAGTCATATCTAGCCAAATGGAAGTGTAAAAGCTGTTCTAGATAACTATCAGCAATTTTGATTTAGATAATTGTTCCTCTACTGAACTGAAAATTGTGATAACAACAGCAGTCTTAGTCGGCTTGGGCTGTCATAGGAAAATACCAAAGACTGGGCTGCTTAAACAACAAAATCTATTGTCTTACAGGTATGGAGACTGAAGAATTCTGAGATCAAGGTGTCAGCAAGGTTGTTTTCTGGTCAGAGCACTCTTGCTTGCTTGTAGATGGCAATGTTCTTGCTATATCCATTCTGACCTTTCCTCAGTGCGTGTGGGAGGAGAGAAAGCAAACCCCAGTGTCTCTTCTTTTTTTTTTTTTTTTTTTTTTCCAGTGTCTCTTCTTTTAAGGATACTAATCCTATCCGGCCAGGCTTCCAATATGACCTCTTTGAACCTCAGTTACTTTAGAGGCCCCATCTCCAAATAAAGCTAGCTTAGTATTTAGGACTTCAACATATGAATTTTGGTGGGGAGATACAGTCAGTACATAACATCAGTATTAATAGGAATTACTTTCTTCTTTAGTTGTGCTTATTAAAAACATAAAATTTATCAGTCATATGAATTTGCAGGCATTATATTAAATAAATCTGTTATATGGACATCTTTATTTTCATAACCAATATTTGCCAATGATTTTATTTCTAAAACGTTATCCGACTAATATATTTTAAGAAGTTACAATGATACATATGTTCAAGGACTTTCGTTTCAGCAATAAAGTAATAAGAAAAAACTGGAAGCAACTTAAAGGCTTATTTCTAACTAAGTTATTAAGTAAATTTTAATATATTAATATGTTTGAAGAATATGTAGCTGTTCAAGAGAATGGGGGAGATCTGTATGTATTAATATGGAAATATGGCTAATCTATATTTTTATTGCAAACAAAATAGTTGAGGAGAGCTATTTGTTAAAACAAATTATTTGGGCAGCCCGGGTGGCTCAGCGGTTTAGCGCCACCTTCAGCCCAGGGCGTGATCCTGGGGACCCGGGATCAAGTCCCACGTCAGGCTCCCTACATGGAGCCTGCTTCTCCCTCTGCCTGTGTCTCTGCCTCTCTCTCTCTGTCTCTCTTAAAAAAAATAACTTAAAAAAATGATTTATGTATGTACAGTGGCAATACTAAGTATTAGCAAGAAAATGTATGTAAATAAATATATGTCTTAGAAGGAGACCCTAGGAGGAAGGAGTTAAGGAAGAGATATTTTGCTTTATTCATTAATTTTTAAATTATGTTTACAATGAGTATACATTATCTTTCAAATAATTTTTCAAAAGATGTTTTTATAACTTGCTAGAATGATTAAATAGAAAGGAGTGGAAGCCACGAGGCCTGCTCTAAAAACCCTACTCTAACCAGTGGCATATATAGGTCTAACACACAGATCTATTATTAAACATATATTTAGTAGGTACCTCTATTTTTAGAATTCTGCTTTGTCTAAAAGATAGAACTGTGGGGACGCCTGAGTGGGCTCAGTGGCTGAACGCCTGCCTTCGGCCCAGGGCCTGACCCCGGGGTCCTGGGATCGAGTCCCATGCGCGGCTCCCTGCATGGAGCCTGCTTCTCCCTCTGCCCGTGTCTCTGCCTCTCTCTCTCTCTGTCTCTCATGAATAAATAAATAAAATCTTTTAAAAATAATAAAAGATAACTGTGAAGTTATCATAAGATTTGTAAAATAGGGCAGCCCGGGTGGCTTAGCGGTTTAGCCGCCTTCAGCCCAGGCCCCCTGGACCAGGGATCGAGTCCCAGGTCGGGCTCCCCACATGGAGCCTGCTGCTCCCTCTGCCTGTGTCTCTGCTCTCTCTCTCTCTCTCTCTCTCTCTGTGTGTCTCTCATGAATAAATAAAAAAGAATCTTAAAAGACAAAACAAAACTTTGTCTTTAAAAAAAAATTGTAAAATAAAAAATTGTAAAAAAATAAGCCTACTATTAAAAGCATAGAGGATCATTGGTAATCAATGCATTTATGCTACATCAAAGTTTGTCAGTATAGATCAAGTCTTGAATTTTACTAGGGCATGTTGCATCAGCACATTTTTAAGCCCTGGATGTTAGCATGCATTTTTAAATGAGCAGAAATGGATTTACGATTTCATGTTGCAAATATAATTTCTTAGGAAAGGTAATTACTATACTGCCTTAAAAGCTTACTTACTATACTATGCAGATGCTCAGCAAAGGCTGAGCATCTGCCTTTGGCTCAGGGCCTGATCCTGGGGTCCCGGGATCGAGTCCTGCATCAGGCTCCCTGTGGGGAGTCTGCTTCTCCCTCTGCCTGTGTCTTGGCCTCTCTCTGTGTCTCTCATGAATAAATAAATCATAAGTAAATAAATAAGAAATTTTCCTTAAATTACATTTCTTTTTTTACCAATTCATCGTTAAATTGTCAAAATCCTTATTTAGCCTTTCCTCATCAAATTCCCATATTTTTCTACAAATGCAGTATTAATACATTTCCCTACAGCATTAACTCTGTTTAAAATTCCATGGTTTTCATGTTTTATTCACTCTCTTCTGTAAACATTCTTTATCCGCTTGAATTTGAATTTACATGACAGTCTATTAAACAAAAAGCTTTTTTTTTTTTGAGAAGTGAGTTCAAGAGTTCAGTTTCAAAAAAACTTGAGATATACTTATCCTATTCTTTTAAATTTTTTAAGTTTGACAAATTTAAAACAGCAATATCATGTTGCAGGTGAAAATTATAATCATTGGGAATTTTTTCAACTTCAATCCAGAGACAATTCGGTACCCTTATTTTTATAGAACTAGTTCACATTCTTTTTTTCTGCCCTCCAATATGGAACACTTCACAAATTTGCATATCATCCTGGCACAGGAGATATGCTAGGCTTCTCTGTATCATTCCTTTTTTTAAAAAAAATATATGTGAGGAGAGCACTCACATTCTTATTAAATGACATATTGTATACTTGGTGACCTCTCTTTTGCTACTTAAATATAGAATCAAACTATAAATGATAGCAAATATTCCTTCAATTTCTGTGGTTATGGAAGAGCACCAGATAGCATATTTGCAGGCTTTGTGGTATAGTTTTGGTATCAAAAATGATTTTGAGCTTGTAGTTTGCTTTGATGAAATGACTACATGAAGCAAAGGGCAGTTTTCCAGTTTCAACATTAAAAGCCTAAGATACTGATTTTTTTTCCTGTTCCAATCCAAGAGAAATCTTTGTACCATAAGCCAAAGACTTGCACCAAATTAGTTAGTATTGTTTAAAGGGAAGGTTGAACACAATCTCTTCTTTGGCATAGAAATATTATAGATGGCAAGTGCAGATGTTTCCAGAGTGCATGCCATGTAGCCTTTTATTGAGTTTATATTGTGGAAATTTATGGTACTGTAAAGACTTATCCAGACATCAGTGGGTAACAGATAGCAAATGAAAAACCTTATAGTTCCTTATGAGGCATGTACATTAAGAGCAATGACCTTTGTGCTCTTTCAAATAAAAATAAAATAGAATTATAAAAACAATAATTGAGATCCTTGTCTACAGTTTATCTTTTTGAAAACTAATATCCAGCTAATTGACTCTTTATCCTTTATATTTATCTTTTACCACAAAGTTTTTATCCTCCTGGAAAGTATTTCTTTAAAATCATAAGAATTCTGTCTATAAAATGTAAGGATTAGGGCTGAAAATGTTTGAATACAATAAAAATATCCACATCACTATCTTTGAAGCATTATCAATTTATCTGACCTTTAATTTGAAACATATGTAATATATGTATGAATACCTTTCACATAAAGTCTACCGATAGAAACTGTATTCTTTAAAAAGAAAACAAATATATGCTGGTTTCATAAATTAGAATGGCTTACCATTTTGTTGTGAAGAAATCTTAAATTTTTTTTTAAAGATTTTTATTTATTCATTCATGAGAGACACACAGAGAGAGAGAGAGGCAGAGACCCAGGCAGAGGGAGAAGCAGGCTCCATGCAGGGAGCCCGATGTGGGACTCGATCCCAGGACCCCGGATCACGCCCTGGGCTAAAGGCAGGGGCTCAACCACTGAGCCACCTGGCGCCCCTGTGAAGAAATTTTAAAGTAAGACATCATTACCTGTAACAAGTGCAATCTCTTTCAGATTCTTTGTACAATAATACAAAATTCTTCTATTTGCTTGTGATCATTAACATATTTTACCAAGATAAATTAAATTAAAGACAATGATTAACATTGGCAATAAATATGTGAATCAAATAATTTATGAATTAAGAAATTGTTCTTGTCTACTTTCTTATTTTCCTCCTAAGCAACTTGGCATAGAGACATAAGAAAGCATTAGCTTCTAAATTTTTATTATATGTATTAAATTTGTAGTAAGTACAATATTTATTTATTTTGTACAGGACAGCAGCATATATTTTCACTTATAACTGTGAGTACTTTCCAACGTACTTTGAACTTTTGATGTTTGTCATACTGACAGATGTCAGGGATCTCTATTTTTGTTTTTCTTGTCAAATGTTTGCCCATAAATTGTCAATAAGTATCCTGCAAACTACACATTTGTGACTGAATAATTTCCTTATGCCCAGATAAAAAGAAAGAAATAATCATCTAGATATTTTTCTACACAATACATCAATTTTCTGAATGATGACTTTATTTTTATTTTTTGAATGATGACTTTGTCATCAACTAATCAGTATATTTATTCAAAAGTGAAACAAACCAGAAATATCTCTATTCTGTTCTTTCTATCAATCAATTGATCTATCTTTCTATCTTGACAAAAATCTACTGGTCTAATCTACAATGATCTAATATTTACTTCCAGTGTAAGATCTGAAAATCTCATCGGATAACTTGTGTTGATGCTTTCCAAGCTGCAGAGTTGAAATTTTGTTATACCTTCATGAAATTTTTAGATTCTAACCTTTCTTTGACCACCTATGTGTTCTAGAAAATTATTTTTCAAAAAGAATAGTAATTCTTTATTTTCTTATCTTTCATTTTACCTCCTCTGTTTTTATTATTTTGCCATCTTAAAAGCTGCAATTTTTTTCTGATTCCACTTTTTATGAAATATTGGACAATGAAGAAATGGGTGAAGACAGAGGAAGGCAGATATTTGCTTGACCACTCATTGTTCCAAGTTATGACGTAAAAACAACGAACTAAATGGAGTCTGTATTTTGCGACCTATTTGTTTACAAGGTTGGTAATCCTTGAGGACAGCCGAGTTGTCCAGTTTGTACAAAGCACAGCTTAGTGGCCTTAATAGACTCTGTAAGGTTTCCATAAAGTAAAAAATTAAAAAAACAAAAAAAGCACCTGCACTTGTTTCAATGTTTTTGTTTTTAATTCAGCTTAATTCCTAAATAAATTGAAACCTCAATTTTTTAACTTCTCTTTGAAAACTGAATTTCTTATCTCCATTGTATTTATTTTCTTATCCAAGCATTGTTCACTATAAAAAAGTGAAAATGTCTGGTTATAAAATAGAACCTCTCATTTTCAATAGAAAGAAAATAGGTGTCATGATATTTTAGAAATCCTGAAATCACATATAATCTTAAAACTTCAGAACATAAATATCTGTAAAAAAAGCACAACACGTTAGTTCATTAGATAATCCTTGTCTTAAAGACTTCACTCTCAGAGTATGCCCAATACTTTTCAAAATATGTTTGAAATGCTGTACTTCTCAGTAAGTATCTTGATTCATTGCTAATTTAATATTTTTATTATTATTTTAGTAATTTCCACACCCAACGTGAGGCCCGAACTCATGACCCAGAGACCGGCAGTCTCATGCTCCTCCTCCGTGACCCAGCCAGGCTCAGCATTTCATTGCTAATTTTTAAAATGTCTGCCAAAACCTGAATATTTTGGTTCAACAAAATCATATGAAAATATTTCCCATATTCAACAAGAACATTTGATAGAAATAGGAAATACTCCTTTGGACCTTGTCCACAAAAATGGTCATTATTTTTAATAAAATAATTATTTATAATAAAAAGCATTGCTGAACTCTAAATATTGCATATTCTTGTTTGGTAGTATGTGTCTAATTTTAATATGAGCATATCTTTAAATGTATTTTATGAAAAATCAAAATAAAGTGAGTAGAATTTTATAGTCCTATTTTATCCTGTTAGCATTCCAAATGGAACACTGGAAATGATTACTATAAAAACTCTTCCAATAATAGAATTTTACATATTTAACATATTTAGGATTTCCCCTCTAACATGTCACATTGAGCCTATTTCTAAATCTTTTAGTCCCTTATTCCTTTGGATCATTTTTTCCCAACTACCAACCTTCCCAGCCTCCTACTTATTTTCAACCCTATCGTTTGGATCCTGGTTTTAAATGCAAGCAAGCTCCAGTGTACATTTCCTTTCCAAACAAGACAGAACAAAATAACAACAACAACAACAAAACAAACCCTTTAACTGCTTTAAATAAAGCCTAGTTATCTTGAGCAGCAAAACCTGGACATCTTCTGTTTCTGCAGTTCATCGGCCTTCACTCAGTATAGTTTCCTTCCCCACCACCACTGGCAGACCATTGCACGAGACAGTTTGTGCCTGTACCTGTGAATCTTAACCAGTGCCTTTTCACATTGCTGACTCCCTCCTTTCTCTTAAACTTCTTCTACCCACTGTGAGGCTCCTCTGTGTCTCATTCAGTAAACATTTTGGAGCCCTTAGCAGAATCGCACGCCTCTACTACAATCAGCCATTTCAACCACAATATTGCTCAAATTCTAAAAATCTCTTATTTCCTTCACTTACTTTACCAAAATCAAAACCTTGTGTGTCTATCTCTACACAATATATTCTGTGTCGTTTGTTTTGGGCTGCTCTTTGGGTTCAACGAACATGCATGGAATCAATCCTATAAGGACCCTCGATGGTGAAGACCTACTGAATCACCAGTAGTGTTTCAGATCATTCTTATCTCCTGTAATTATGCCCTATCCCTGCGAAGGTAGTCAACATATCTCATTTCTTACACTATAGAAATTGAGGTAATCCAATGTGAGTTGTTTTAATACCTCTCCTCCTCCATATCTATTTTCTAGCTTTTCTTAAGATTAATGTCCCAATTAATATGGTGAGTGCCCCTTTGCTCACTTAATTTGAATTTAATCTATTAATGATGAATTAAAGGTATTCAGATCTTCTCTCTTCCTTTACTGCTTGCTGCTTTTCATGCATGCCTAATTCAACTCCACATCGGAATGGCTTCCTTCAAACTTTCTAGGTGTTCTTGTGGTCATTAAACCACTCTCCTTCCTCTCAATGTCAAAGGGCATGAAGGAGTAATCCCTACTTGACTCTCGAATTTTCCTATCCCCACTCTGCTTTCCTTTTATCTCTTGTTGCCTATTGCAACAATCTCCATAAGAACACCAGCTTCCCCCTCCCAGTGTGTTTTGGTCTCAGCCTTTGAGCACTTTGAGCTCAGTTCCTGTGATATTTTACACCTTCCCCTCCATCAGGAGTATTCTTTCATTGATATATTGTTTGTAGCTCTTATAAATCTTTTCTAATCCTCTCACTGCACCTTTTTTTTCTTTCATTCTTTCATGGGTTTCTTTCCATTCTCTTCCCAAATGTACACATTCCCAGGATTCTATCCCTTGCTTTTTCTTGTTTTCTCTCCGACCCTTTTACTAAGTTATACTTACTCCCTTGTCTACATCCATCACTTCTGTGTGGATTTGTTCCTAATACATTTCCAGGCCAGCTTTTCTCCTAAACTCCAGAAACATATTTCCAAATGGTGGTTAGAATTATCCATCTTGGTGCGTTGTGAGCCTTGAGAATTCGAATTTTGTAATTCCAAGTTAATCATTAATTTTCCTGAAGTGGATACTCTATTTTTGTTTTGTTTTGTTTTTTAATAG